CGAAGGCTGTTACATAATGAAATCGGGCAAAGCTTGCGTAAGGACCGAGAAGCCTGGTGGTCGGAGCGTGCTAATGAGATGGAAGCAGCAGCTGCATCTGGTAACTGCCGGAAGCTCTTCCAACTCATCCGAGACACTGGCAACAAGAAGTCTGGTGTGAGCGAAACATTCTGTGAGGATGACGGGATGCCAATCACTAACATCTCTCGATGTCTTGGACGATGGGCGGAATTCTTCGAAGGGCAGTTCAACTGGCCTGCTGCTCCGTCAACATCAACACGTTTGTCCTGCCTCCCATGACCGGTGACGACTGATCCACCAAACGAGGCGGAAGTCCGTAAGGAACTCCAACTCTTGAAGCGCTACAAAACACCTGGCCCAGATGACTTACCTCTGGTTCCTTTTAAAGATGGTGGTGACTTTCTGGCTAAGGAACTGACGGTGTTGTTTGCAAGGGTTTGGGAGCAAGAAAGTGTTCCAACGTCATGAAATGAGTCAATAGTTGTCCCTATCTTTAAAAAGGGTTCACGTTGTTCCTGTAACAACTATCGGAGGACAAGTCTACTTCCGATTGAGTCCAAAATATTGGCTTCTATCATTCTTCGTAGGTTGTTTAAAACCCAAGAACGATTGACTCGCGAGGACACCTCAGGCAGAGTGAGGGCATACAACAACCTTTCTCCATTGTTCCATTCGAGCAGTGGGGTTAGGCAGGGTTGCCCGATCTCAACATTCCTCTTCAACTTTGCCATCGATGACATTCTGGAAACAGCTCTGATGGATGTAAGTAATGGCGGTGTGGATATGTTGCCTGGAGAACGACTTCTCGACCTCGAGTATGCGGATGATATTGTCTCACTGTGCGATAATGCCCAAGGCATGCAATCAGCACTTAATCAGTTGGCAATCAGTGTCCGCAGGTACGGCATGTGCTTTGCACCCTCCAAGTGCAAAGTACTCCTACAAGACTGGCAGGATTCTAATCCTGTACTCACCCTGGAGGGTGAGCAGATTGAAGTAGTTGAGAAGTTCGTGTATCTAGGTAGTTATATAAGTGCTGGTGGTGGCGTGAGTGATGAGATTGATGCACGTATAATGAAAGCCAGAGCGGCTTATGCCAATCTGGGCCATCTTTGGCGCCTTCGTGATGTTAGTCTGGCTGTAAAAGGTCGGATCTACAACGCGTCGGTGAGAGCAGTTTTGCTCTATGCTCGTGAAACCTGGCCTCTTCGAGTTGAGGATGTTAGACGTCTCTCTGTGTTCGATCATCGTTGTCTCCGAAGGATTGCTGACATCCAGTGGCAACACCATTTTAGTAATGCAGAGGTTCGGCATCGTGTGTTCGGGCGCAGAGACGATAATTCAATTGGTGTCACCATCTTGAAACACCGACTTCGGTGGCTTGGACATGTTTTACGAATGTCGTCCCAGAGGCTTCCACATCGTGCATTATTTGCCGACTCTGGGACTGGTTGGAGAAAGCGGAGAGGAGGTCAGTGTATGACATGGTGTCGTGGCATGAAAGAGAGCTGCAAAGGGCTAGCTTTTGTTGGTCCTTCACGACTCCCTGGCTGGGGTCCGAGAGATGGTGCATTACAGTGGCTAAAAACGTTATCAGATATGGCTGAGAATAGAAGCCAGCGGCGATCCTGCTGTAACCTTCTTTTAATTTCTTCATAAAGAGTGACTATAACTTTCCTAACTGAGAGAGCTCTTCTGGTTGTACATTTAAGTCCGCCTTATCTTTTCATCCCTTCTCTTCCTAATTTCATTATTTTGTGTGGCGCATATGTATCTAGTGCCCTTTTGTACCAATATATATGTGTTTAAATAAAAATAAAATAAAAAAATGACAACTTAATTTTATTTGCTTTTTACGAGTTTTGTTTAGAACTATACAGTGAAATAAACTCAAACCAGTTAAAACTTTTAAATTCATGTGATTTTCACGAACTGTTTTTTAGTTAATCAGTCGTAAGTGTGGATACAGTCAGAATTCCACTAAAGATTATACAACTAAGAAGTATACAAAATTATTCGCTATGACAAAGTCAATAAAAGCCTATCAAAATAATCACGCAGAAAATAGACATAGACATTTATAACTCATTTCTTAACACTTAAGTCACTGTGTAATGTCGTAAGATAACGTTGCATGAATTTGGCCCAGACGAGGAATTAACTTCACCTCAATAATTTACATGTTGCTCTCTGTTAAAAAATAATAGATCGATAAGAGCAATAAATTTAGCCTTCATCCCAAACAAGTGAACGTAAATTTCAAGTTCACTGTCCCAATAGAAGGCAAATACATTACACGCTATTACATGTTTGACAAAATATTTTGAAATTGTATCCTATGATAAAGCAATAGAATGGTAAGAATATGATATAAAGAAATGCAGTAATCCATACTTGAATATAAACAACTATGAGATCAAAATATATTGAATCGATAAACTCAACGCTACATTTTCTGAGAATTAATTTTAACACATGGCTAACGTGTACCGCGTTGTAGTGTCAGTTACTATGTTAGGCGTACATAACTTATTCTAGCTTCTGGACAGGTCAACTTAACAATTCTCCTTGAGTCACGTTTTGACCTTGTTAACTATTCACTTATCAACCCTGACTGTTTTTATATGAGTGTATGTGTGTTTATAACTTATCTTACTCATCACATGTCTGTAACGTAATTTTGTTCGGCTACAAAAATCGATTACCGCTTGATTGAATCCAGTTGGTTCACACATCTCCACCGCTCTCTTTTCTTCGCTCGTTTGTCAGGATCAGCGATTGCATGAAATATACGTATTTGAAATTCATTCTCATATTTAACTTAATTAATTCCGTTATTCACTAACGCGGATTAATTAGTAGTTATATACGAGGATAGCCGATATGTATATTTCAATAACATTTATACGGAGTCGGACATTGAGCTACTAAAGTAGTGAATTCGTCGATAACACCGTTCGATCTAAGTGACGTTAAAATGAAGGGCCCCACTACAGTGTGATTCGTAACATTGCGGTATGAGCTATTTATGTCGATAGATGTAAGAGAACGAAAACAGACAATGATTGGTGTGGAAACGAAGGAAGAATCAAGTCTCAGACGATTGATTAACATTTCGCAAATGAATTATTTATTGTATGGTTCTCAAATTTTACGAAGACATTGTATAATTTTGTATTCACATACATTTGGTTGTCCCCGCCTGCGTTCTCCTTCACTACAGCATTTGGAAGTAAGAGAGTTCATGACAAATAATATGCTTTAAAACACAGTCGATAATGAATCTGATAATATGAATTAAAATTATGAAATGCCTATATTTAGTTAAGTTAAATAGGTTTATTTATAGTTCCTTAAAATGATAATACTGATCTGACCTAAAATGTAACCTTTGAACTAATACTTAGGTAGACGTTAATTCACAAGGACAAAAATGGAAAAATCAACTCATTTATCAAGTATAGATTCATGTACTCCAATTTGAACTAGTTTAAGTGCTACTAACAGGGTTTTTTTAGGCAGCTGTAGGGAGAATGAAGTTCGAAATGTAATCTGCTATATATATATATATATATATATATATATATATATATATTACTCAGTCAGTCGAAACGTAGAACTTCGTACGTACGTACATCAGTTCGAGTTGCCATACCACATTAGCACAGAGATGAAGTTGTCGATTCAAATCCCATATTGGTAGAAGTAGTAAGAGTATAAGTATTATGTGAAAGATAAGGGTTTGAAGATGTTATTGATGGAGTATAATACGGTGAAATAAATTTGGAAAGAGAAAAAGGATACGGACATGAATTCAGAAGATTAGAATTTGGTAGAACACAAAGAGTGGATGCACCTTCGCCATTGCAAACGATTTTGAGCCATGTCATTCAAGGTCTCTAACCATCGGTTGCTATCATCTCGCGAATCCCAACTAGGTAGTCTACACCTACCAACATGGCTCAGTCCGCTTGTCAGTGACTTAATGGATTTGTGCCGTGTTTTGGCCTCGCCACCCCTAGCTTTCTTCAAACCTACTCCTACACCATAAAACATCGCTCATAAGGGCAGTCGGTGGTTGGACATGTCCTAGCCATCTCAACTGATGAAGTTTTACTACTTCATCAATCGATTTGCCATCCTTACTTAGTACCCGTTTCCTAAAAACTGCATTACTTACTCGGTAGTTCCAGGATATACGAGCAATGCCTCTAAGAAACCCATATATATTATTATGTTGTATAGTGTTATGTTGCTACGGTTTATCTTCCTAAAAACCGAATTGTGCAAAGTTCATTGAATATAATATAATTAAACAATCTGCACATTGTAAGCAAAGATAGATGGTGGCTAGCAATGGAATGGAGGACGCGCGTTTTGTCCTATTTCGGACTCGTCAGATGGATGTACATGTATTCCAGAGTTAGTTTTCACTCTGGGACTCGAATGCATTACCGTTCGCATCAAATGCCATCACGATATCCACTTAGCTATTAAGTCCAGGAGATTTAAACAAATACGAAAATAAATTAAAATCCATATATCAGTTTACCAAAACCTATATTTTTAAAATGTAGTTTTAAATCTACCAAATAGCTTAAACTTTCAAGTCTAAAACCTCAAAATAAAAATATTTCTTGCGTAAACACTAAAAACATTTGATATTTGACAAATCAATACCGTGAAATATTTAGCCGAAATAAAAAGTGAGTTTTCACAAATTCCAATGAGAATTGAATATATTTCAAATACTGTGAAACTATTCGCTCTAATTTAGACGAAAGCTCTTATATAGAGATAAAGTTTACTGCACAAAAAAAGTAAGAGAGTAAATCACATATCAAATTTAAGATTTGTTCAGTATTTTAAGATCAGCAATAATTTTCCACTACTACAGAATCATAATGAAAATCCTCTACTACACATATTCGAATGGACAATGCATAAAACATTACCTTGAACAAATTATAATAACTTACCAAAATGGTTTGTGTCTGAAAAGAAGAGACCAGTTTAAAGGTCGTAAGGGTACACTGGATAGGGAATCATTAACGACACTTTTTGGATTTATATACACAAATTTTGATTCTGACGGCTACATAAGAAACAAAATAGACAATATCATGATAAGACCGACATGAATATAATTTTGAAAGATGAGTATAATTACAGCATTAATAATAGTATGTATGAACACACTTCTTATGTAATTACTTTCAAGATGTGGTAAATGGGTTTTCAGCAAGTAATGATTATATATATATACTACAATTCGTCATTTAATTTTTGTGAGGACTGGAATACTGTCCGGGTGCTCAAACCGAAACAGGTGGTTTTATTAGGGAAGCACGCCCGGAGCCTTTGACCTACAGGTCTAATCCACAAGGCAGTGGAGCAACGTAAAAAAATTTAGTCTCATGGTGACCAAAGTTTGGTTCATACGTCATTTGTTCCTTCAGGATCCTGAAGGAACGTTCATACGCACTACTGATTTGAAATCAAAGTCTTTCAACTCTCCTGGGTGGATCCTCCATGTCCACCGACCTAGTTGAAGTGCTGGATGTTCACTTTTCGCCCTCCCAATTTTGTAAATAACACCCATGCCGCCAGAAGGCACCATCAAGGCTTGGTCTTCTGAATTATTTCTCCACAATACTCTTTTGTAAATGGAAATAATATTTTCCATTCTCAAACCACCTTTAGAAAAGGCAGGATGGATTATTACTACACAGTGTTGAGCTGAAATAAACTTACTAAACAATACAAACCAAACCCCAGAAACAAAAAAATTGTTGCTCATTACATTCTTTATCACAATATCACTGATAATAAATATCGATACTGACTTGCAATAAATGAATTAAATCAAAAAGGTACAAAGGATGGTGACATAAGGGGTGAGTAGTTAACGATACTTATAAACCCGTCCACGTAAATTGGTTCAATAAAATAAGTCTGAAGTTATTTAGGTATTTTTAGTAGTGCCTTAAGAATGCAGACGACTATCTGGGTGCACTAAAATCGAACTTTTAGTAGTGAGGACATATTAAGAGTTTCATTAAAGCCATTGTTAAATAAAATATAATTATCCTGAGATAAAACATATCTTTAAATCCTCAAATGAACTAAACCCGAGTAAATTGTTTTTACCATGAGACGTAATTAACCTGATCATTGATACACATTGGTTGGGATTAGTTTAAGTTGTTTACAGCCACTGCTTCTCAGTATTTACAATTTCCATCAGTATGAACCTTCCTTAGGGAAGTAAATAACAACGAGTATGTACCTTCATAAGACATCTATACTGTCATTTACATATTCCTTTTATAATTTTATCATCGCATTAAATGAGAAAAATGAATTTGTAAAAAGTAACCTTGAGTAAATTCACAATGAATTATTTTACTAAACTAACCATCATTTTTTCTTTCACATCCAGTATGTTAATACAATTTTCTGACTTCATTTCCCGACTTATTGTTACATTTTTGTTAATGAAATATGAATTTATTAATATTCTAGGTAAGATTAAATGCAATCTGGGTAGTCTCTTCGATTCACGGGTAACAATTAGATAGACAATAAAAGACCATGCAAAAAATAATATTCCAATCCAGAAAAACGGTGTACGCCAGCCATCATTTTCAGCTAAGTAAGAACCCAATGAACCACATAAGATTGTTCTGATATAAAAATAAAAGACAAGCAAATGATATTAAAACATTTTCGAAAAAAAAGTCAGACGATAAACCGATAAAAACAAAATAAAATAGCATTCATTAACACCGTGAAAAGAATAGAAATTGATCTGCCTAATGTTATGTAATTTAAGTTTGCAGATTTAATTATATCAGTTAGTCAGATGTAATCAACGTAGAACCTGACACAAATTTGTTGACGCAAGTTCCCGCATCACGTTGGCAAGATGAGATGAGGATAACAAGATTAATTACAGAAACGGTCGAAACTGTAGTAGCATTGATAGAAAAAACATTCAAACCTCGGGAATTGAAAAGACGGGGCGGGAAGATATGCATGAAGGGATATTGGGATTCATGATTAAGAGGAAGATAAAGAGGGAATGCAATTGTGTTATTCTGATCACTTCTGAGCTACGTCATTTGAAGTCTCTAACAAATGTTTATGGTTACTTCACGAACATAAAACAGATAGTTTATATCTACAACCAAGGCTCAGACCAACAGTCAATGAGTTTGCTGAATGATGGGATATTTTAGTTTGATTTCCTGTCAGTCAGTCACAACGTAGAACTTCGTACGTACGTACATCAGTTCGAGTTGCCATACCACATTAGCACAGAGATGCAGTTGTCGATTCAAATCCCATAGTGGTAGAAGTAGTAGGAGTATAATCAGAAATCCAAAAGATTAGGGTTTGAAGAAATTATTGAAGGAGTATAGTACAGTGAAATAAATTTGGAAAGAGAAAAACATAAAGACATGAGGAATTCAGAAGATTAGAATTTGGTAGAACACAAAGAGTGGATGCACCTTCGCCATTGCAAACGATTTTGAGCCATGTCATTCAAGGTCTCTAACCATCGGTTGCTGTCATCTCGCGAATCCCAACCAGGTAGTCTACACCTACCAACGTGGCCCAGTCCACTTGTCAGTGACTTCATTGATTTGTGCCACGTTTTGGTCTGGACGCCCATAGCTTTCTTCCAACCTACTCCTACACCATGAAACATTGCACGTCGGGGCAGTCGGTGGTCGGGCATACGTAACACATGTCCCAGCCATCTCAACTGATGAAGTTTCACTACTTCATCAATCGATTTGTCATCCCTACCTAGTACTCGTTTCCTAACAACTGCATTACTTACCCGGTGGTCCCAGGATATACGAGCAATGCTTCGAAGACACCTATGATCGAACACTAGTAGCCTACGAATATCCTCTACTCTTATTGACCATGTTTCACTGCCATGGAGTAGGACGGAGCGAACTGCTGCACAGTAAACCCGTCCTTTGGTTGCTAGACGGATATCTCGCCTACTCCATAAATGACGCAAGTTGGCGAAAGCTAGACGAGCCTTCTGTATCCGTGCTGAGATTTCGTCACATACCAGACCACAAGGGCTGATGAGACTCCCAAGATAAGTGAAGTGGTCTACACGCTCAACTACTTCACTCCCTATCATTAGTTCAGGTGTCGATGCAACCCAATCCTGAAGTAACATTTTGCACTTCGAGGGAGAGAATCGCATTCCGAACATGCCTGCATAGTTGCTTATAGTGGTCAGAAGACTCTGCATGTTGTCAGCGTCTTCACCGAGTAAAACTATGTCGTCGGCGTATTCTAAGTCAACAAGTGAGCCTCCTGGTAAAAGTTCAACTCCTGGAGGTTTAGCTGATGAAAGTGCTATCTCTAAAAGTATGTCAATGACAAAGTTAAACAAGAATGGGGAGAGTGGACAGCCCTGATGAACGCCACTTGTGGTAATCAGTTCTGATGACAGTTCGCCATAGGCTCTAACTCGACTAGTTGTGTTCGAGTAGAGAGCCTTTATGAGGTTAATGTACTTCTTTGGTACTCCTTTCAGTGACAAACATTGCCATAGAACCTCACGATCAACGGAGTCAAATGCCGCCTTAAGGTCAAGAAATACTGTAGTGAACAGAACACTGGTTGGGGACAATCGAATGTATTTAAGCAAAGATTACAGACTATCTCAGTAAATTCTGATAACCAAACAATGAACAGTCAATTTGCAAATTAACAACCAATTGTTTCAATCTTCACTGTATCTTCTATAATTCCATTGCTCATGCATTTTCCAAACAATTGCGCTTCATTTCAGTTCTTTCTTCATCGGTCTTCTGCGAAAATACATTCTATATCTGACCAACACCATATACTACTTATATAGATATAAGTAGATCACACCACACTCGTCCCCCCTTTAAAGCAATCGTTCATGCGGTGGTTCTGCTCGCCACGCCACTATCTTCTTTCACTGCAGTCTGTGCCAAACTCTCCGTCAGAATGTCGAGTCTGCGGCGCGCTGACCTCCATAGCTCGGTCGACCTGCCGGGGCACCAACATCCGCATCCACCCGGCACCTGGGACGTTCAACACCCGTACTCCACCGGCCTGCTGAGCCATCTACATCCGATAACCGCCCAGCAGCCGCACGTCCCACTGCTCCACTCCGTCGACAGCATCTGCTACAGCCAACGCCGCCCGCCAGAGCACTCCACTCGACGCCACCTCTCCGCACCAGACTGCCACAACTAGCAACTCGACTCCAGACCCGCAGCGGCGTCCACAGAACAGCACCCTTCCTCCTCCTGGTTGGCAGCGACACCAAATGTAGTGAACAGAACACTGGTTGGGGACAATCGAATGTATTTAAGCAAAGATTACAGACTATCTCAGTAAATTCTGATAACCAAACAATGAACAGTCAATTTGCAAATTAACAACCAATTGTTTCAATCTTCACTGTATCTTCTATAATTCCATTGCTCATGCATTTTCCAAACAATTGCGCTTCATTTCAGTTCTTTCTTCATCGGTCTTCTGCGAAAATACATTCTATATCTGACCAACACCATATACTACTTATATAGATATAAGTAGATCACACCACAATACTACTATTGTGGGACGTCTGAATTTGTGTCTATGTTCTAGAACCTGACGTAGGGTGAATATTTGGTCTATGCAACCACGTCCAGGTCGAAAACCAGTCTGGTTTTCTCTAGTCTGCTCTTCACGAGCTTTGGTTAGGCGACCTAGTATTATTGAAGTTAATATTTTAGACACTATATTAGTCAAACTGATCCCTCTGTGATTGTCACAAGAGGACTTTTGTCCTTTCTTATAGACTGGCACAATCAGTGATTGGGACCAGTCAGATGGAATTACATCCAGTTCCCAGATTCTACCTAAGACCTCAGTCAATCTCACTGCTAGTACTGGACCACCATCCTTAAAAATCTCAGGGGTCAACCTGTCAGGGTATGCTGCTCTCCCTCGCTTCAGATTTCCTATAGCTTTTTCAACCTCACAGAGGGTTGGAGGACTTACATCAATTTGCCATTCAGGACGACTGGGGATCGTGGGTAATTGAAGTGTGGCTGAAGGCCAGTTGAACTGATCCCTAAAGTGTTCTGCCCATCGATCCAATCTCCTGGATTGAGAATGAATAATATGCCCATCTTTATCTGAGATGGTTTCACTGATATTCGGGTTCCTAATACCGGTTTCTTTAACGAGTCTGAATAGCTGCCTACTGTTACCTATTGCCGCTGCCTTTTCCATCTCCCTTGCTTTCGCTACCCACCACTGTTCACGATCATTACGTAGGCTTCTTATAAGCCTTCGCTTAAGTTGACTCCGCTCTTCGTTATGCTCAGAGCCAGGTGGGATGAGTTTACGAGCATCTATCAGTGCGGTAGATGCTGCCGAGATCCATTGTTTCTCCCTAACGTTATGGTTTACCTTACTAGCAGATATCACTGCTGTTTCCACAGCTTTTCGGATGTCATTCCACGCTGCCTCGGGGTGGACACAACTTACATGGCTGCCTAACTGTTTTCCTAGTTGTTCCTGAAATATATTCTTAGCTTGCCTATCATTAAGTAGAACCCTTAGAGGCTTCCCTGCAGTGTCTTTCCTACGTCCAGTAAGACGCAGACAGATACGTGCTCGCACTAGAGCATGATCTGAATCTAAACATGTGCCCCAGAATGAGCGACAGTCATCTATCGAGCCCCTCCATCGGTGGCTGATAGCGATGTGATCTAATTGGGTCCAACGTTGGGACGAATTCGGGGGTCGCCAGGTCAAAAGATGTTTTTCCTTATGCTTAAAGTTAGTATTTGCAAGAAATAGGCGGTTATCTGAGCATAGCTGCAACAGACGGTCGCCATTATCTGTTCTTTTCGCCATGACACCATAAGATCCACCCAGGTGTCCTTCCCTTTCACTTAGTTTACCTACTTGAGCATTAAAGTCACCTGCTACTATTACTACATCAGAACGCCTAGCTTCTCGGAGAAGGTCAGAAAGTTTCCTGTAGAACTCATCTTTTATATCGTCTGAGCTGCAGTCAGTGGGAGAGTAGGCAGAGACGACGAAGAGGCAACGACGAGTTTCCCTATCTTTCCGGGTCCTTACTGATCCGTTTAGTCGGACAGCGCATAGACGACTGTCTACTGGGATCCAGTCTAAAAGAGCTAGTTCTGCCCTAGGACTTAATGCTATACCTACTCCAGCGAGGCCACGGGAAGCAGCATCAGGGCTTCCAGATACACGAAGCGTGTATCGAGATGAAACTTTATTTTGATTAGGTGCGGTCAAATGAATGACACTACTCGGATCTTGTATGCGCGTTTCGGAGACGCAGCACACATCGATGGTGTAAGATTCTAGAGTCCTAGCTAAGGAAGCCTGTTGTCCTATTTGGCACAATGTTCGGACATTAAAAGTTCCTATATGCAGTTTAGAGCGTGGTTTCAGGAGACCAGGAATAACGTTCTGTGTACTCGAATCGTTTGCCCTAGCGGTGCGAGGTGATAAAAGGACGTGGGAATTGATTGATTTCCTGTAGCTTTCTTCGAATCTACTTTTACACATATTTGATTATTCCTTCATTATTACCCTTAAAAAGTGAATATTGCGTATAAAAAATTGTGAAATTGAAAAATTTATAGAAATATATCCATTAAAAAAATTCTTCTTAACACCTACAGATTGTTTAATATTTGTATTAAGAAAACATTAGACGAGAACCATATTAATAGCAAGTTCATCGCAAACGAGATACATTTTCGAGGAAATTATCATGAACTGATATTAGTTACAGAGCCATTAACATACCCAGAACTCAATGAACGACCAGCTTCTTCTAAATTAAGATATTTAGGCAATGACATTTCACTATCTAAATTATTTGGTTAGATAAGCTCAACTGTAAGTAGCTGAGTATTAGAGATACATATATATCTTTGATAACACATAGAAATAACCACTTCATTATATTCTAAAAGATTTCATACAAGTTCACATTTATACATACAATAAATGATTATTAACAGCTAGTTCTCAACGAAATAGTCTGGCAGAATTACCTGCATCTTATGTAAATAAGTATTTTATGAGCATTTTTATATTATTATTACAATCAACAAAACTATTATGAATGGCTTTATTCAATCTAATATGCATAGTACAACATAGAATTCTCAGTATAGACTATATTAAATCAAATGCTCTTTAATAAGATTAGAATCTGTATAACTTTTAATTAGCAACATATTTAAGAACACAAGTTATTGACTAGGTCAGCTCTAACAATCTATTCGTCAAATAGTATATTTACTAGATAAGGTATTGTAGAGCTTTTAACATTTGCTTGAGTGCATGGATTCCAATTTATTGACGTCTCGTTCTACCAGAAGACATGCAAGGAGAAATATGTGGATGGAAGAAATATGGAAAAAGATTAAGATAATTCCAATAGCTAAGAAAGAATTTGGGGATAAGAACGCAAAATCTAGACCCATAGGAGTAAATCCACTTCTCAAAACAATGGAAAAACTATTGCTACTTCTACCTCAACTCGCATTAAAAGAGCATTTTGATTCATACCAATATGCCTATTTATTTCTTTTGGTGAAAGAAACTTAATGAAATAGTTCGTGGTGAGAATTTTAAGTTGTACTAAATATATGAGATTAAATAAATCTATTATTGATAACAATAATGATAATCATACAGGATAGTCCTGTTTTACCTCACCACACAGATTTTGTTAACAAGATTGATAGATTACACAACGGTTCCTCATTTCAGCAAATTGAACTCGTGTACAGTTGAGTATATTCATGTTAATCCGTTTTCTAGAAGTCTGTAGTTGATAGTGATTTAATATAAAACACGTTTTTGAAAGATTTTAAAGGTTATTACACCACAAATTGAAAGACCGAGGTTCATAAAAATGTTAATAAATACATACCCCAAATGTGTACCGGCAGTTATCACAGCAAAAGTGATATTTCGATTAGATACTTGAACACGATTGGCCATTAAACTTGCTAAACTCGGATAGTAAAATCCTGAAAGTTTGGTGAACAGATAAACATAAAGATAGTTTGTCAATTTTGTAGAAGAATTGTTATCAAACGGAGTTTTAGAATAAGAAAAAAAGCAAACAATTGTTTTGACATAGAATATACAATTTAGTATCTTAAGTGACAAATATCATATTGTTTAACTTTCATAATTGTCATCATTTTATCATATTTACATTAAAACTTGCTTTATCTTTAAAAGGTCAACTTCGAATTTATGGAAGGCTAAATCCCGTGAGATCATCACTAAAAGTGGTAGTAAATAAAATCTAGGTTGTAACCGTTTTCAATAGTTTTGAGAACTAAAGTGGAGACATTACCTTAACTGATTAAACTATCTTAAATTACATTTTACTTGATAGAAGTAGTATCACGAAATAAATCAGAGTAGATCGTTTTTACTTATTTCAAGCAATATATACTTTGACCAATTAATTTTATTATTGGGTTTTTGAAGGATATTTTTAACCGATTATATTGTCCTTCATCAACTTTATTGAGCCACAAGTGATTAATTAAGAATATGTATGAAATCTGCAACGTAATCAGTCAAACATTCTCCAACTCTGCCCATCATAACAATACATCAAAATGAAAGGTCATGTAAAAGAAAAGAACGTATAAAAATTGCTAAGTTGAAACACCGTTCAAATTTCTTACCATTGATTAAAACAAAGTAAATAAATAACTTAACAGTCAACATAACGGAACAAAACAATTTACAACCTGTTACGTCGTTGAACAGTCTACCCAGTACAATGCAGAGGATAACTTGTCTAAATCTAAAACCTTGACGCAATAGGCTGATTGGTTCAACCTTGAGGCTAGCACGAGTGACTTCGAATTGAGACTAACTGCTTTGGGTAAAGAGACGAAAACTATTCTACCACCTGATTGGCTGACAAGCACGCGAGAGAGAGAAGACAAGTCAACTGGAACACTACTCGATTTATTCTTAATTTCGATCTGGTTGCTGATTCAGATTAGTGTAAGAAGATAAGTGAATAAATCGATGACTAACCAGACCACAACGCACAATACAATTGGGAAAAATACAATTACGTTCCCAAACTGGGGATCAAAGTAAAAAAAATGAATACAAAAGATTACGTTTAAATTACAATAGCTTTGGAATAGAAAAGGCCATGACAGTGAATGATACATAAAAAGAAAGCTTATGGTTTGTAGAGTAAACTAGGAACAAGAAGAGTTAATGTTTTAAAAGCTTCGAATTAAATGAAATAACGTCCCCAACAATAGCTTCCGTAGTTTGTCAAGGCTTCTTTTTTCTCTGTTCACATCACAACCGAATTATTATTATATATTTATTATTTATTTATTTAAAGACATATATATTGGTACAAAAGGGCACCAGGTACATATGCGCCACACAAAATAATGAAAGTAGGAAGAGAAGGGATGAAAAGATAAGGCGGATTAAATGTACAACCAGAAGACTCTTTCAGTTAGGAAAGTTAGAACCATTCTTTATGTAGAAAGTAAAAGAAGGTTGCAGCAGGATCGCCACTGGTTTCTATTCTGAGCCATATCCGATAACGTCTCTAGCCACTGTGTTGCACCATCTCTCGGACCCCAGCCAGGGAGTCGTTAAGGACCAACGGAAGCTAGCCCTTTGCAGCTCTCTTTCATGCCACGACACCATGTCATACACTGACCTCCTCTCCGCTTTCTCCAACCAGTCCCAGGGTCGGCAAATAATGCACGATGTGGAAGTCTCTGGGACGACATTCGTAAAACATGTCCAAGCCACCGAAGTCGGTGTTTCAAGATGGTGACACCAATTGAATTATCGTCTCTGTGCCCGAACACACGATGCCGAACCTCTGTATTACTAACATGGTGTTGCCACTGGATGTCAGCAATCCTTCGGAGACAACGATGATCGAACACAGAGAGACGTCTAACATCCTCAACTCGGAGAGGCCAGGTTTCACAAGCATAGAGCAAAACTGCTCTCACCGACGCGTTATAAATCCGACTTTTTACAGCCAGACTAACATCACGAAGGCGCCAAAGATGGCCCAGATTGGCATAAGCCGATCTGGCTTTCCTTATACGTGCATCAATCTCATCACTCACGCCACCACCAGCACTTATATAGCTACCTAGATACACGAACTTCTCAACTACTTCGATCTGCTCACCATCCAAGGTGAGTACAGGATTAGAATCCTGCCAGTCTTGTAGAAGTACTTTGCACTTGGAGGGTGCAAAGCACATGCCGTACCTGCGGACACTGATTGCCAACTGATTAAGTGCTGATTGCATGCCTTGGGCATTATCGCACAGTAAGACAATATCATCCGCATACTCAAGGTCGAGAAGTCGTTCTCCAGGCAACATATCCACACCGCCATTACTTACATCCATCAGAGCTGTTTCCAAGATGTCGTCGATGGCAAAGTTGAAGAGGAGTGGTGAGATCGGGCAACCCTGCCTAACCCCACTGCTCGAATGGAACAAGGGAGAAAGGTGGTTGTATGCCCTCACTCTGCCTGAGGTGTTCGTGTACAGGGCCTTTAAGATGTTAATGAACTTCTCACGCACATCCTTCTTCAATAGACAATCCCAGAGAACAGTCCTGTCCAACGAATCGAAGGCCGCCCTGATATCAAGAAACACTACGATTGTTGGCCTGCGATAAGTATGACGGTGTTCTAACATTTGGCGGAGGATGAAGATGTGATCAATGCATCCTCGACCAGAACGAAAACCAGCCTGCTCCTCGCTAGTCAATCGTTCTCGGGTTTTAAACAACCTACGAAGAATGATAGAAGCCAATAGTTTGGACGCAATCTGAAGTAGACTTATCCCCCGATAGTTATTGCAGGAACAACGCGAACCCTTTTTAAAGATAGGGACGACTATTGACTCATTCCATGATGTTGGAACACTTTCTTGTTCCCAAACCTTTCCAAACAACACAGTCAATTCCTTAGTCAGAAAGTCGCCACCATCTTTAAAAAGAGCCGGAGGTAAGTCATCTGGGCCAGGTGTTTTGTAGCGCTTCAAGAGTTGGAGTTCCTTGCGGACTTCCGACTCGTTTGGTGGATCAGTCGTCACCGGCCATGGGGGGCAGGACAAGCTGGTTGATGTTGCCGGAGCAGCAGGCCAGTTGAACTGCCCTTCGAAAAATTCCGCCCATCGTCCAAGACGTCGGGAGATGTTAGTGATTGGCATCCCAATTGGCAGCCCGATTTCAATACGTAACAGCCTTCGTTTGTGGTCAAACTCACGGTCACCCGGAGTAGACCGACGGGCTTCCATCAGTTGTAAGGAGCCAGAAGAAACCCAGTGCTTGTAGGCGGGACGTTTCGCGAAGCCGCAAGCGGCTTTACTCGCCATTTTCATGGCGTCGTGAAGATGCAACCAATGCTGATCTATACTTTTCGGTGGGGTGGTAGCTAGCCTAGAGGCTAGCTCCGCTCGGTACTTACTTGCAACAGGAGTTGCAGCCAGTTTACTAATATCAATCCGTTGGTGGTGGTCAATCCTTCGGCCACTGAAAAGTAAGGTGAGATTGGCGCAGACCAGGGCATGATCAGACTCCAGATAGGTACTCCAAAAGGAGCGGCAGTCTTGTACACAACCACGCCAGCGGTAGCTGATCGCGATGTGATCAATCTGAGTCCAGGCTTGGGATGCAGAGGGAGGACGCCAGGTGGCACACCGGCGATGACTGTGCCGGAAGTTAGTGCTGGCCAGAAACAGGTTGTGGTCTGTGCACAGTTGCAGCAAACGGTCCCCGTTATCTGTCCGGCGACCAACAAGTCCCCATCGGCCACCTAAACGACTCTCTTCTGTGCCTAGACGCCCGACCTGTGCATTCAAGTCTCCGGCTAGTACTACAATAACTGTCGAACGCGCTTTCTGGAGAAGAACTGTTAACTGATGGTAAAACTCATCCTTGATTGCATCCGGGCTGCAATCTGTCGGGGCATAGGCGGAGATGACGAAAAGACACCGTTTCTCACGCCGATTTCTTCTCACTTTGATGGAACTTTCTAATCTAACAGCACATAACCGGCTGTTAATGGGGAACCAATCGATTAGTGCTGCCTCAGCCCTAGCGCTTAGTGCGACACCAACGCCAGCAAGACCAGACGAAGATGCCACAGGGTCCCCGGATAAGCGCACGTGGAACAAGCTTTTCGAGACAGATGGAGAGCGGATTTGTAGTACTTCACTAGAGTCTTGAATACGGGTCTCGGATAGACAGCAAACATCAACATTAAGACCTTCCAAAGACATAGCCAGCCCTATCTGTTGTCTGATCTGCATTAGTGTGCGAACGTTGAAGGAAGCCAGCTTGAACGGCGTACGCGGTTTCAGAAAGACTGCCTCAGTATTCATTATCGGTGGAAGCATTCACTTTCAACCAGACAGTGACTGGAGATCGTTTAGATAGGACAGATTTTCCACCAAGAGCGAGCTGATGCATAAGTTGAAGAGTAAGGTTACACAAATTGGGGGTAAAAGGGGGTGAATTAGCGATATGGTAAGTAATAATAATAATAATAATAATAATAATAATAATAATAATAATAATAATAATAATAATAATAATAATGATAATAATAACGTAAATTGTCTTGCTTATAATATGAGCAGGAATAGAATCGTCAATAGAGTTCGTCATTTCATTCATTTGTGTGTGGGCTGTGATACTGCCCGGGTGCCCAAACCGAAGCAGGTGGTTTTCTTAGGGGGCCACACCCCGAGCCTTTGACCTAAAGGTCTGATCCACAAGGCAGTGGAGCATCGTGAGGAGATGCAGACCCATGGTAGTCGTTGACCAATGACAGGTTCTTCCGCCATTCGTTCCATCAGGAAACTGGAGCCCATGTGCACCATTAGTTTGGAATCAGGGTTTTCCAACTCCCCTAGGTGGACCCTCCGTGTCCACCAATCCGGTTATAGCGCCGGACATTCGCTTTTCGTCCTCTCACTTTCGTAAACAACAC